ACGTACAAACTGAGAGCGTTCAGATAGATAGGACCTAAACCAGCCTAAAGCAGTTCCCTGTATGCCAACTAAGTGCTTAAGAAACGTTAATATCTTCAGTTTGACTCCATTGTAAGCCCAATGCTCTAAGAGAGAGATGTTGATGGTTGCTTAAACTTACCAAAAGTAAGCTAAATTGGGCTAAACAATGCAGTGGAAATTAGGCATTATTATAACTATTACAAAGTATTGAGACTACTGTTAAATTCACCAGAGCTTTTATTCTTAAGAAACATTAATGTCTTCAGCTTTACTCCATTGTACTAAGCCCACTACTCTGAGAGATAGCATTTGACGTTAGCTTAGATCACATGTGTCAAACCCAAGGCCCGGGGGCTAAATCAGGCCCGTGGTGGATTTAATTTCGGCCCGCAGGATCATTTCTAATTCCTATTAGATCTGGCCGGCCGGTATATTGCACGCACACCTTCACTCCATCCTGAGGGTCTCCTCAGCTCAGAGCCTGAGCCCAAACATTGATGAACTTGCACCCAAGATGAGATGCCAAGTATCTGAACTAGCATCACAGAGCAGCACACTGAGTTCAATGGATGTCTCCTTCTGTACTTTTTTTCTTGCGACAACAGGGCAGGTTTGGTTTTTTCTTTGAGGGAAATAGTTTTTTTTAAGCTGTTGTTGGCCTGTGGAGAAATGTAATCATAAGAAATGACTCCGTAAAAGCTGCAGATAGAGCCATATAGAGCCATGAATGCAACTGATTATTTAATGTTGTTTTTATAGGCAATCATTTAAGCTGTGTTAGTTCCAGGTTTAATATGTGCAATAAGTTCATTTCAATAAGTTCTGCAATAAACATTGAACCAGTCCGGCCCTCGACTAGTACCCATTTTTGGGCTACACTATTCCAAATGCAAGCTAATGTTGAGCTAAAGCCACTTTAATGTTAGCTAGCTAAGCGGTGTTAAGTAGCTCTTACATGAAAATATATATTTGTCCCCTGAAATGTCATTTGTGCTCATTGTTGTTTATCGCCCACCATCTTCAAATAATGACTTCTACACCACATTCAAAAAACTTCTTAAAGCATGTGATTTCAAAACAGAAGTAATACTGCTTGGTGACCTGAATTGTAACTGGTTAGACAAGACAAGTAGGAAAGCCCTTAAGCAAATCACAGATAGTTTAGACTTAACACAAATGACAGAAGGACCAACCAGAATAACCTCATCCTCACAGACACAAATAGACTTAATATTAAGTAATAAACCTGAGAGAGTGGATAAAACATTTAATTTCATCACTGGACTATCTGACCACAACTTAATATTAATATCCAAAAAACTCACAAAGAAACGGTTCCACCACTCTTACAAACGTCTGGAACAACTAAGAATACCAAAAAATGAATTTGCAAACTTTGAGCAAGCTGTGCAACAGACTGACTGGGGAAGTATGCTAACTGGGAGCAGTGTAGAAACAGACAGCCAAATGTTTGCGACCAAGCTACATGATTTAGTGCAGATGTTCTCCAGAAAAATGAAAAGTGGAAAAAACAATGCACTTCCTTGGTTCAATACGGACATATTGAACTTGATGAAGGAAAGAGACTTTGCACTGAAAAGAGCACTGAAAACTAAATTAACTACTGACAGGCATAGGTTTACTTCATTACGTAACAAAGTAACTCAAACAATCAGAAAGGCCAAAGCCAACTTCTTCATAACAATAATTAATGAGGCAAAAGGTAACACTAAAATAATTTGGGAACAGATTAAAACCTTACTGGGAATCAAGCACAGGCCAAAAAAGCGAATGGTAACCTAGTGCAAGACCCAGAACAACTTGCCATAGCTTTTAATACATATTTTATCAACTCTGTAGATGAGATTGCACAGAACTTCCCTTTGAGAGCAGAACATATTATCAAAGTTGACGAAAGTAAGATGTCCTTTTGCATTCAACCCATATCGGAATTAAAAACCAAAGCAATTATTAATTCTCTTAAAACTTCGACAGCTAAGGACACATACACTATGGATTCTACAATGCTTAAATCACTGCAAGATTACTTATGGCGCATTTCCACTGCAGCGGGTAGCCCCGTTTAAGCGTCCTTAACCGTCCTCAAGCGGCCAGGCCAGTTTTTGGTGGCCTTTCCATATAGCCTAGTACCGGCTAGCGGGTACTTTTTCCCTCTTTTTCCAGCCCCATAAAATCGTGGTTCTATCAGACCAGGGCCAGGGCTGAACTAGTGACGTCAACACTCTCGACTGCTGATTGGCCAGAGAGAATCGTCACAAGATCGCGCGCGAGTTCATCCCTAGCGTCGCATATATATTTAGAAGCAAGCTTGCAGCATTTTTATAAACAGCATTTTGTAAACGGATGAGCTACAAAAATGGCTACGTCTAATAAGAAAAGCACACCGTGGTCGACCGAGGAGGTGACGACGTTCCTACATCTCATTGGGGATGATCAAATCCAGCGGGAGCTCGACGGAACAACTCGAAATGTGAACAAAAACAAAGCCGATCGCCCCGCCTACACTGCGTTGCTACCCCAGGTCCTAAACTGTAATGGAAATGCGCCACGGCCTCGGACGGCCAGCGAGGCAGCCCGAGGCCTGAGCGAGGACGCTTAAATGGGGCTACCCCGCTGCAGTGGAAACGTGCCATTAGTCTGCCCTCTTACCTAAATCATCAATTCATCTGTATTACATGGGACATTCCCAAGTGCATGGAAGACTGCAATTATAACCCCCATTTTCAAGTCAGGTGACCCTCTGAACATCAACAACTACCGCCCAATTAGCATCTTACCTGTAGTATCCAAGGTGGCTGAGAAGTGGGTGTCAGAACAGCTTGTCTCCTTCTTAAACAACAGTCCATTTCAACTTCATCCCATGCAGTTTGGCTTCAGGGCAAATTATTCAACCGAAACAGCCAACTGCTTTTTTATAGAAAAGGTCAAAGCAATGGTTGACAAAGGAGGTGTTGTTGGTGCAGTATTTCTGGATTTACGCAAAGCCTTTGATACAGTCAACTATAAGGTCCTTCTGTCCAAACTGTCGGCTTTTAACTGCTCTCCATTAACACTCAGTTGGATTGAATCATACCTTACTGGTAGGCGTCAGCATGTTATCGTCAATAATCGAATCTCTCCAGCTCTAGACTTAAGCACCGGAGTACCACAAGGTTCAATACTTGGTCCACTTCTTTTTTCCCTATATATTAATGACCTGCCATCTGTCTGTCCTGATGTGGAAACACAGCTATATGCCGATGACACTGTGATATATGTGCATGCCAACACAAAGCAAAAGGCTGCTGATAAACTGACCTCAACTTTAGTGCTGATCACTAGCTGGCTACACCGCTCCTGTCTTCAGCTTAATGTCAACAAAACAGTTGGAATGTTTTTCACAAAAAGAAAATGCAACATCGTGTCAAATATAAGCATCTCAGGTGAACATATTAACATTGTGCCTCAGGTTAAGTACATTGGAATCATTATTGACTCTAATTTAACATTCAAAACACAAGTCAAAAAAATGACCCAAAGAGTCAAGTTTAGCCTAGCAAAGTTTAAATACATAAGAAACACAATGACATTGAATTCTGCCAAATTATACATGAATGCCATGATCATGTCACATCTTACATACTGTCTCACAAGCTGGGGGCAAACTAACAGCTCCACACTGAAGCCACTAGCAACCCTGTACAAACAAACCCTAAAAGTACTGGACGAGAAACCTAACCGCTCCCATCACTGTACCATCCTCAACAAGAATAACATCCTGAGTTGGGAAGATTTAATAAAGTATAGGAACATCGTTCTGGTTTACAAAATCCTGCACAATACAGCCCCTCCACCTCTTAGCTCATTGGTTACTCAACGTAACAACACCAGACGGACCACTAGAAGCTCCACACGTGACGACCTATCAGTCCCATTCAGGAAGAGGACTTTTGGTCAGTCATCATTCTCGGTCACAGCAATACAAAACTGGAATTCTCTACCCACTCAAATCAAAGACATACATACACATCCCACCTTCACAGCTCACTTAAAAACATGGTTCACTGAGAACTACGCCTGCACACACTAGTCTGTGTTGAGTATGGCGTGAGTGTAAAGGCCCTGACACACCAAGCAGTCACCAGAGGACTCGCCGACGCCGACGTCGGCTGTTGCGTCGCGGTGTTCTCCTGCGTCTTGGCCATGTGTCGCACGGGAACACACCGCAAAGACTTCAGTGCGTGAGTGGCAATAACTCTCCTTACCAGCAGGCGGCGGTAGTGTGTATTCGTCATTAAAAATAGGCAACAACCGGAAGACCGAGAAGAAGAACAGACTGTGATATAAACAAACAAATAGCGTGTGCCTTCCATTTTCACTCTCCATCGAAAACATGTTTCGTGCGGCACTGGAGCTAGATTTGGGTTCTGCCCGCTCTGTATTAATGTCATGTGGATTTTCCTGGCATGTTGACAGGTTATCATCATGTAGGCGTTGATAAAAGCTCCTTCTAATGCTGTGTTATGTGTGTATGAAGGTACGAAATAAAGTTTTGCATTGCCTATCCTGCTATTTGTGTTCTTTTAATCCCACAGCGATAAGAAACAATAACAATGTGCCTACATAACTGTCAGTTGCAGCCCTAGCATTAGTATTGGTTATAGTAACAGCTACAACATTAAAATACTTCTTGGCAGATTGAGGAGGATAATGGGAGAATGAACAGAGGGGCAGAAACATCCATCTGAATAATAATAACTTTATTTGTATCGCACCTTTCATACAGGGGATTGCAGTTCAAAGTGCTTTACATCAGTAAGAAATAAGATATAAAATCAGTGTAAAACAAGCAGCAAGAGCAAAGCATAAAGTGGGATAAAATAATGCAGATATATTATATATATATATATATAGTAATCCCAACAGGCCACCTTGTTTATGGTTTGATTCAGTTTTAGTAGAATATAAAATACATGACTGAATGATGAAATTAGCACAAAGTGCAGACATACTATAATTATATTGAGGTACTTGAGACTAATCCTGCAACTGTATAGTTCTGCTCCACAACAGTTCGAGAATGAAGAAACCATCACGTATGAAAGGCTACATGTGAATAGAGGGGCAGAAAAACGGCTTGCACATTTACATTTCAATCTTGAACAATGAACAGCTGTAGACAGTATCTCATTTAGTATCATCATCCTGCGCTTCGCCGGAGGCCTTCGAGTGCTGAGTGTGCTTGGCCTCTCTCCGAGCCGCGGTGCCGGTGTGGTGCAGATGGTGGATTCTGCCAGGGGAGTGCAGGGCTCAGCATCAAAGTGGAAGGACTCCTCGTGGTGCTGGTCGAGGTTTCACTGTTGGTGCCACCGGGGGGTGATTCTGCAGCCACCGGACGTTCCTTAATTTTTAAAAATAAATTCACAGTTAGTTGGATTTAATACCATGGCTTCTTAAAACTGTTTACTAAGCATTTATAACAAAAAAATACCCTGAAATGTGTGTGCCATTAGTTTGGGTGTGGTCAAGTGTGAGAGGTACATTGTAGACACATTGTGATGCTCTATTCAGATGCTAAAGACATACTTCTAGAAGATTCAGAACACTACAAAATATAATCAAGACATATTTTATCGTGTATTATTATAGGTTAAGATAAAAGCGTTATTGATCCCATGGTGCATTTCATAAGCTACCCAGCAGTATATCATGTAATTTCAATTAGCTCCTCCTTTACCAGCTGCAACATTAAGGTGATGAGCACATCAATAATTATAATACAATAATCTATATATTATTCTGTTATTGTTATATTTAACACTGTAACCACCAAATGAATGAAAATAATGTTTTGTAAATGAAAGAAGCAAGAAACACTTATTTGTACTGAACAAATAAAATAGTTACCGTGATGGTGAGGTTCGAAGTACTCTCCTTCCTTCTTGTGTAAGGCAAGTTTATTTATATAGCACTTTTCAACACAAGGCAATTCAAAGTGCTTAGGGCTCTAAAAACTGCAGCCTGGTTATGATCCACTGCTGTCTGCCAGTCCTTTGTGCTCCACAACTAGGGGCAAGTTTCCTGTAGGCCTACCGGGTGTACTGGGTTCGCAGAGAATCCCAATTCTTCCTCAGCTCTTTCTCTGAAGCACACAAATAAACGATGTAAGCATTGTGGCTAGTTAGCATGTCCAATTCATATCTATATGCAGTGCCAAACTGCACAGCTAGCAACAAGATAACAACAAAACACAAGGTTGAAATAACAAATTACATTTCACGTTAACGTCACTGTACGCTGGCAAACAATAAAAAGCCAACAGTATCTGCTCAAGAGCTCAATTGATGAAAAAGATCATTTTACCCGAGAAACCAAGTTGCGTTTCAATCTCTCGCCAGAGTCCGGTTTTCACTACTCGGTTCGAGTACCTTCTCTCTGTGATGTCGTACAGAGCTGGCCTCTCCTGGATCAAGGTGATCAGCAGGTCTTCGTTTGAGTCATTCCAGATCGCCATGATTAGATGAAAATGAATATCAGTCTGTGTGTGCCTTCTTACATCGTTTGTTTACGTCCCTCACTTCCGTTTCGCTTCTCATGCACTGATTCGCTAGCTGAACAGCCAATCAGAGTGATTGTTTGGTCCGACTGCCTGTCCCGATGCATGGCCGATTCAACATCGGCCATGCATCGGGACAGGCAGTCCAAATAAGGCGTGTCACGGTCGACGGTGCGGGACACACCAAATTGAGTTTGGGCGACAGGACACGCTTCGTCTCCCGACTTACGAAAACAGTCGATATCGGCCTGGTGTGTCAGGGCCTTAACATGTTGTGATCATGGATGTTGCCCCTCGTTTCTGTTATGTGATTGTGATGTGCTCTATGTACTGTATATAGTAACGTGTGTTGTTTATTGTTCTCTTTTATCCTCACACCGGTATCTACTTGTCTTTCCTCCTTTTTATTTTATTTTATATATTTTCTTATAACTAATGCTGTTGATATATTGTAATTTTAAGGGTGTCTATTACCATCTGGCCGGGGACAACAGCTGGAAATTAGCCATGTCGGCTAAAGCTGCACCATTTACTGTTTTTGTGACAGTTCATCGATGGGGACTGTCCACGACACTATAAATAAATAAACTATAATGCTATATTTGGATTTTATGTTTTGCTGCACACATTTACAGTATTATAATTGTGCACACATGCATTTTAGCCTATTGTATACTATATGGATAAACAATGTTTATACATACCTCAAATACAATCCAACTGGTTTTTGACAACAATACAGCTAGCATTTTTGGGTTAATTCATAGCAATTAATCTCAAATTTGTGTTTTTATTTATCAGATAATTTTAGGTGAAGGCAATATTCTGAAGAAGTTCAAAACCATTCGTATGTTGCAACACAGTCTTACGGCATTTTGTGTATAGTCACAAAATTAATCTATTGATTCTTGTTCACCAACACAATTTCGCCATGTTTTTCGTGTCCCACAGAACGATTTTAAAAAGCAATGCAAATAATAACAAATTAGAAGGAAAAACAGATTTAAAAAAATACAGATTTCAGTATTCTGACCAGTGGCGAACCGTCAGGGCCTTCAAGGTATTCAGAGAATACCCTGGAACACTCAGATAAAACAAACAAAAAATCGATTTAATTATATATATAAAATGTATATAAAATGTATATAAAATGAATAAATGAGAATGGTATCTGTGTTGTTGATCTGTAATATTACAGTGTTACGTTGATTTGTTTGTCCTTCTCGGACCATGCACTACGCATTTCAGTGGTTTTGTGTTAGAAAAGAAAGCAACCAATCAGATCTTGTTCTGGGTCTCTGGGTAGAATATCCTTCAACCAAGGTATTCTACATCCTTGATCGAATGCCCTGGCCGTTGCACTGAATGAGAGCGTACGTTTGGACTGAGAGTTTGATCAACCAATCATATATTGATTTGTAGCCAATGGGCGTATTCTTTCAGAGTTTCACTCGGTTCCAGGGTATTCTAGAAGGCCCGCTAGTTAACTGGCTCGAGACAGAGGATCTAGATGAATGCGACGAAACAATTCATGCAGTTTTATTGTTTTTAACGTTGAAATGACAAGTGCAACAGGTGAAGATGAAGTTGTTGCGGAATTGTTGCGAGTACCCTTTTCAAGACGACAATTCAGTGAAAAGACGGACATTATAATGCCGCGGGGCGACGGGAGGTTGTGTGTCTACAGAAGGTCCAGTTGTGATAGACACGGTTCGCCACTGATTCTGACACTATACACTATACTATACTATACTCCGACATTATACAATTTAAAAGAAAAGGGATAGGGTTAGGCTTAGGGTAAGATATTGAGTAAGAAAATGTTTTTATGAACCACACAGCTTCCGGTCTTCCAAGACCGGACAAAAAGACGTGGTGCAGGCACGAAACATACTACCAATAGAAATACATTGCTTTTAAAATCGTTCTGTGTGACACGAAAAAAATGCGAAAATCGTGTTGGTGAACACCAATCAATAGATTAAATTAATTTCGTGACTATAACACAAAATGCCGTGAGACTGGGTTGTATGTTGTGAATCTTCAGATCTTCATCCTGCAAAATGTTCCCACTTGTTGCAAAGGCCAATTCTCGATGAGATTTAGGGGTGCCAAACTACTGTATGAGATGAGTGGATGGAATGAAATGTATGATGCTCGCAGCAATTTTAAAAATAATTTCTGGAGACCACCGGGACAAACAGTTTATACAACAGAATAAATGCAGGTTTCAAGGATGCAGATCCTAGTGTGACAATAAGTTGTTTGTGAGGGCTGAAGGACACAATGAGTGCCTGTTGGTGCATATTAAAGTCTGTCATTATGATAGCTGTGGATGAAATAGACTCAACATGGGTAAACATCACTTAGTATGAATTACCCTGCAATATCAGAAAGATGGGGATAAATAGAACAGAGTTATATTTAGCTTCTTTAAAATCAAAATAAGAATATGCAGAGAATCCTAGCCTTAAATAGCTTATGCGTAAACTTCTATTTGACTTTGAACTGCTGCTTATCAGACAGTAGAGACTTCTCGTGGGCTAATGTTCATCTCACAATGATGCCTCTGTCTCCTTGAGGTAGAACAAAAACACAGACACTCTATAATCATGTGAAGATTAGGCTTTAAGGGGCATAAACACGAACAGACTGTGACAGTGTGATTGCCATGATGTGGGAAAGTTGTCTGAGACAAAACCCCACAGTGATTATGACACACACAGGCTGAAAAAAATCGTCAAGCACCAAGAACAAGCAAGGCCTGTGGCGGAGAAATCAAACGTCCACACAGATCTGAGAGCTGAGAGAATAGAGGCCTCAGTTGAATAAAACTTTTTGTAATTCCTCCTGGAAGACACTTTGAGAGATGATGTTCGCCTTGGGGTTGTGGGAAAATCTATGAGCCATAAAGTGTGTTTCTTACAGGCCTTGTTTTGTTTTGTCCTCATATTGAATGGCAGGGATTTAAGTACTGTATGATACAATTGTTTATTTGACTATTAAGGTTTACTTTACCTTTTTGAAGGAGCTTGTCGCATCCTCTCAGTGCGTCTTCTGTTGTCATTCAACAAATTCCTCATTCTGTGGAAAGACAACACCGACCGTCCCGCCCACGGTACTGATATGAAGGTTTCAGTATATGACGTGCTCTTCCTTTTTCTCCAATTGTTTGTTTGTCGGTGCACGGTGACTCATTTGCTCTTAGTCACCTCCGCTAAGGATGTTTTTGGTTCAGTTTTCTTTGGAAAAACTGTCGACTACAACCCTTATTTCCATGAAACTTGGTCAAGTGGCAGCGTGGGCAATGGAAAATGTCAATTCAAGGGGGATTTTGATTGGTATTCGCTCTTCAAGTGTCCTTCTAGTTTTTATTTCTGGAGTTAATTCATGTAAAACATCTAATAGTCTATTGGCAATTTGATGTTCCTTTGAGTTCATCTTAGAGTAGTTATTATATGTTTTAGCCTCTTTTTGGAGATATTTGTCTCGCAATATGCTTGTTTTTCAGTTTTTTACCCTTCATTTTCCACTTTTTTGGAAGGCCCTGGACAAACAGAGCATTATGTATACTATTAGATTGTAAAAGAAAACTAATGTCCATGGTCATAGCAATGACTCAAATGATATAAGAGCCATTTTTATTTGTTGTCAGTTTATTTAAAGGTTTTTCCCTCAATAAATAGTTATCAGAGGTGACCAGCCATCCAGATCCTGTAGCATGTTGTCAGGTGATCGCATTTTAGTGACTGAATTATGACCAGGGCCGTCCCTGGCCAACATGAGGCCCCACGCAAAGTTATATGATGAGGCCCTCTGTTTCGCGAGCGTCGTCAACAGGGTGCGAGTGGAACCGTGCCGCGCCACACTAATTGTGCCGCATAAACGCTGTGAGACTGACCGTTGAGCGGCCCGACCAAGCAAGGAGGTAGACGCAGAGAGTTCAAATATAAGCCGGTGTGGGCATTTATCAAATCATCGGCACATGATTCACAGCCTCAATATGACTGTTACCCGTGAACACAGCCACCAGCCACCAGCCACAAGGATCTCCCACACACTACCTGTCCACTGACAGGGAACACAGAGCCTAAATACACACACACTAATCAGGCCAATAAGACACAGGTGGGGGGGGAGGAGACAACACAGGGCACCAGGTGAACACAATCAACAACAATGAAGCTATACAACCCGTAACGGAGGCCGAGATCTATGGGCCCAGAGATCACCTCCGTGACAAGCGCATAGGTGCGGCTCAGTTGAGGCTCAGGTGAGGCCCCCTCCGCAAAGTGAGGCCCCACGCAGTCCGCATGATCGGCCTGTAGGGAGGGACGGCCCTGATTATGACCTTAAACAATCATTCAACCTATTTGTAGTGGCAAAAATAAAGAAATAATTAAAAAAATATATTAACTTGAACTGCTGCAGTATTAAATCTAACTGTTAGTTAGAAATATTTAAAAAAACGTAATCACCTATTTTTTTTATTCTAAATACATAGATGACAATATATGTACCCATAAAACACACGAAAACACCACTATATGCCTTTACATAGAATACAAATGTAATTTCCCACGTTATAGTTAGAGCTAAACCTTGTAAATGCAGTAAAACACAAGTTTTTTATATAAAAGTCAGCAGCCTTTTCCAGTCTTTCCGTCATCCCTTCCCTGAGGTGTGGTGCTGTTTTATGAATGAGCTGTTATGCCAGAAAAGGTGACCTGAATACAGACAGAAAGCGGGGGAGGGAGGAGAGTACTGTAAGTGACGTTGCGTTGTGGGACTAAAAGTGCCGAATCACATTTTCTATTTTAGTTGTTTGCTGCTAAAGGTACTATTACATATGTGTTGTGTCTGCCGGTG